GTCTCCATAATCAGAATCAGTCTGTTCTTCAGTCTGTATATCTCCATATCAACGACACCCGAGTCCTTGAGACTCTTGATCATCTCCGGCCACACGTTTCTGTGATATCTGTCATACTCTTCGATGATTTTTGGATCATCTTTGAGGTCAAGCCCTAAACAAATTCTCTTCATATTTGCACCAAAACTAGGCGTTAAGAAAATAATTGTAAAAATGTTTTTGTATAAAAAAGATATTGGAAAAGTTATCAAAAATTATTGATAATTGTGTAAAATTGTGCAAAAAAGTGTATTATCACATAATGTCTCATGGTCATTTGAAAAATAAATTGAAAATTGAGTAACTTATTGAATAATGTTATAACTTAAAATACGCTAAGAGTACTAAACTTAGTCTTATAGTATTTTTGGACTGGCTTTCCAATTATTAAACGGTATAGGGTACTATTATTTTTCCTATTTAATTCAGAATTATGATTCTAAACGTGTTATTAATTCATTCAATATTTGTTCACAAAGAATTTGTTTGAATTCAATCAATTTACTATACATTACAATACTGTTATTATTTTAGCCAAGAGTTTACATTTACAGTAATGCTTCAGAATTTAAATTGCAATTTTAATGTAACATACAGTACATTGAATTATTGATTTTTAATTACATTTGGTTTTATAACAAATAAAACTAATAAAAAGGTTTTATAGTTTGAAAACTTTGTCCATAAGCATCCACTTTTCACCTTGCTTAGCGAATGGCAATGACTTCTGGAATGTCCACATAAGTTGTTCCCATTCCTGAACTTTGGGATTATTGGCGTCCATTTGGGCCTTCCTTTCAAACGAGAAGTCGTCCTCTGTTTCCATAATCATAAACATCCTGTCCTTCAGTCTGTATATCTCCATATCAACGATACCCGAGTCAGTGATACTCTTCTTGATCTCTGGCCAGACATCTCTATGATATCTCTCGTATTCTGCGATCAGTTTTGGATCATCTTTCAGATCCAGTGCTAAACAATATCTCTTCATATTTGCATCAATACTAGAGAAACAAATGATTGTAAAAAAATGTTTTTATATAAAATTATAAAATATTTGAAAAGTTATCAAAAAATGATTGATAATTATGAAGAAGTGTTACGAAAGAGTGTGTATTATCTCATAATATCTCATATGAAAACTGAATTCAATATTCAGTAATGCATTGAAAGCGCAGTCGTATTGAGCGTTGCATTGAATGCAAACACTTGTCATAAAGTAATCAAAACATCGATTCATTTGTTTTGATAGCAATTGAACGCAAGAATCGCCTCTTTTTTGGTGATAAACCAAACCATTAGTGATCCCATCGTCTCGTCACTTGTGGCACAAAATGTCCAAATCATTTGAGGACCAACTCTTGCGTATGTCTTAAGACAATCACTTTGTTTAGCAAATTGGTGTGAGTTTTGTTGATATATCTGATTGTCTTCCTCTTCAGGCGAAGTCAATGAGAATGTATTGAAACGTTTCGGTCGTTTCGTGGATCACTTCAACCGCGAGTTGTCTTCTATGCATAACTTGAATGTCTCGCAAATCAAGTCATCCATTGAAGTGCCCTTTAATTGGCCGCCCATTGACTGCATGGACGTGAAGGAGAGGACAGACCTCTTCGAGTTGGTCCAGACGTGCGGTAATATGCAGTTGAATAAAGTGGTGCTCGTCTTCGCACAACTCACTCAAGAGATGCA